TTAAGGATATCTAGAAGAACTCTAAGATATACCTCCTTGACCAATTCATATTTCGGGGTTAAAACGTACGTACGGGATCCAGAACGGATATCACCCACCCGACAGTTCACTGTTCGGTTGGTACGTAATCCACATGACTCATAGGGTGGATTATCGATTCTTGTGTTCTGCATTAAACTATTTATAGTTTAAGGGCCTGGTTAGAAATATTGCCTTAGACTAGGGATAGCTAAGAGCTTGTATAAAAATGATTTGGCCTTAGATTAAGAATAATTTAAGAGCACTGATGAAATATTTAATATTGAATATATCATGAAATGACTTAAAATAAAATATTGTGAATATCATGAATAATGTATGCTTGAAATATGTATTGTGTGCATGATATCAAATGGTTAATTATGAATTGAGATTCAATTTATATGGATGTTCGATGCATTAGATATGCTTACTCAGCTTCAACGCTGAGCGTGTAGTATGTTTTATTTGCTACACGCAGGTAAACAGAAAGATTAATGTGATCCTGGCGGCAGATGGGGCGAGATTGTCGGGATGGATGTGACAAGTTTTGAAATGATTAATGATATGTCAATATTAAATTCGCTTCCGCAATATTGTTAAATACTCCGTACTGTATATGTTATGAAAAATATTATTGAGATTAATAAAGTGTGTTTGAAAAGTTTTAAATTTTACGATTACCAAGTTAAATACTTTAGTCCGAATGGGGCTGCAGACCTGGACGGATTAGGGTGTTACAGGTGAGTTGTCATTTTCTTAGCTCGGGGTGGAGGGTTAAAACTCTAAGGAGCTAAGGTAGTGGAGGTGATCTTGACGGGATTGTTGAGATGGAGCCACGGGTACAATGATAACTGGAAATGGTGAGGACCTTGTCGTATTGAGCAAGGTGAGGCCATGACCATGAGTCAACACATGGTGGCGGAGAGCTTGTGGTATTGAGCAAGATAGGGCATGAAAATTTTTTCAAGGTGGTAGTGATCTTGGTGGTTGGACCAAGGTGGAGCCACGAGGATTTTTTTTCTTCTTTAAGGTTGGCAGCGGTGATCTCGGTGGAGCAGACTAAGATGGCGCCAAGGATAATTTTTTTCGGAGTAGCGGTGATCTTACCGGAGAAGTGAGGTGGAGCTACAAAGTTTTTTTTAATTATTTAATCAAGGTGGAGTTTGTTGGAAAATTGATTAATAATCAAAAGAAAAGAAAAAAATAAGGAAGAGGACAAAGAAGAACAAGGAAATAAAAGAAAGGAACATGCATACGCACTAATGCATGTGGGAGGATGTGTTCTCTCTTGTCTCTTAGTGATGCATGTGATGTGTGGAGATTTTTGGCTATAAAGGAGTTCACATTGCCTAGCTATGTGTGTGTGGGTTTTACACACCACCAAGGTAGAGAGAGAGAGAAACATGGGAGGAATTCTACACAAGAATACCACCGAGAAAATCCAAGGGGTCTTGGTGACTGTGGGTGAGTGTAGGGAGTAACTGGTTTTAGTTACTCAAAGAAATACATCCGGGCATAGAATGTGGAAAGATCTGTTTATGAGTGTCTGGAATTTAGCCTTGTAAACAGGGGAGAGTTTTTTGTATATTGTCCTGAAATAGTGGAAATATAATTTTTTTTCTCTCATATATTCTTCTTGTGTTTGTTCTCTCATTTTTCTGGTGTTCTCAATATTTTTCGGTATCTTACGCGCTTAAAATCCCAACAACTCTTTCTATTTAAAAAAAAAATGTGCTTTTAAAATGAGTAATTTTAGTATTATTTTCAAATTATGACACATGTATTTTCTAAACATTTCATCTTACTCTATCATAAATTAAGAAGAAATTAGAAAATAATATCAAAATTACTCATTTTAAGGCCGGATGTGTTTTTTTCAAAAAGGAAAAGTTTAATCTTATGGGACGGATGAAGTATTATATATATATATATATATATATATATATATATATATATATATATATATATATATATATATATATATATATATATATATATATATATATGTTCATCCATAAATCTCCATCCATAATCCTGTCCAGAAATCTTGGGAGTATTATTTATTATTGCGATTCCTTTCATCTATATATACTCCGTAGTATTAAAAGCTTATTTGTCATAAGATGAGGTTGGTTTTAATTTGAAGGTAAGTATGGTCATTCATTCATTCATCAATGCTCATTGGTCTCCTAATAAAATTTTCATTCTTTTAAAAACAAGTACTAAGTTGCTTACATTGTTTTTTTATTATGTGCACAAAATTTAAGAACAAAATTCAAGTTTTTTAAAATTTTGTTATCGTGAGACAAAAAGATCATTTTGTGCAAAAATGTTAGATCCACAGACGTCATAATCTCTTTTGTACTCGTCGTCCATCCATATTTTTTTTTTCAATTTGACTTTTCAAGTTTTTCAATGCAATACTTTGTTAGTTATCAAAATGATAAATACAGAGTATATGAATAATTTTGATCGTTAATTAAATTAAACTTATAATAAATATTGATACAAGAATAATTTTATTAGATTTATCAAATAAATTGTATTTAGCATATTGCTTTATCTAGCTACGGAATAATATATCATGTACCCGTAGTTTTTATTTAATTATAGATCCAAAAAACGTTTTGTGAGTAATTCAATGCAAAACTAGACAAATATCCGACATGAAAAAAATTTATTACGAGTGTGGGAGAGTATGTGAGTGTTATTCTATGCCGGTGCTTATAAATCAAATATTCTTTCATGAAATTAAAATGAATTAAATGATATATATATTATTTGTAAATATTCATAAATGGTAAGGAACAGTTTTATAGATAATCTAGTCAAGACGGAGAAATGAAATACCGGAGTAATTGACTTAAAAATAAGCAGTTATGACCTTTTTAATATTTTAACTTATAACAACTTATAAATCAGCTTGTTATGAGAAACATATCATCAGCTGACTTTTAAATTTAAAATTATATAAAGGGATTTCCTCTCATGCCTTTTAAATTCAAAGGGCATCCATGCCCTTCTATTGAATGAATGCCATGTGTAATTTGATCCACATAAGTTTTCTAAACCGTGTGCTTCACTTAAGTTTTAAAAATTTGTAAAATGGCCCATGTCACTTCCTTAATTCTTTTCCATTACTTACGGATAATTCAATGGTAGTTATTTTTTTAATCATTTACTCTATTAATTTAGAGGTTCTAATGATAAGTTTAATACGGAGTACATAATATTCACTCCGTTCCACAAAACCTACCCCTTTTCATTTTTTTTGCTTTTCACAAAACACTTCTACTTTCTATTAAAAACCCACTTTTACCCCTATTTTTTTATACCCTACCTATCACATCATACTTTCTCACTAATAACCAAATTATAACATCTTACTTTTTCCCATCACATCAGGGACAAAATTGGAAAGTTAACCAAAATTACACTTTTCTTATTTTTGCGCATAGTCAAAATGGAAATGATATTTTGGAACGAATGGTGTATTTCTTGTAATTTGGTAAATGTTTACTATTAGTGTTTCATTATTTCCAAATTTACAATGTTGCCCATATTTTATCTAAAAAAGGCCCTTATTGATTAATTTTCATGAAACAAAAATTAATGAAACATTTTCATTTCCCTTTTCTGTTTATTTTCTGACTTTTTCTTTCATTTGTTGTTTCTCTTTTTAATTCTTTTAGATATAATGTTTCTTTGATTTTAATAAAATAAAAAATAATAGAAAATATAATGAAGAGGAAGAAAAGTATACAAAAAATACTTCTAAATCAAAGAAAAAATTAAACATATACTCCCTCTGTCCCACTCTCTTTGTCCACTTATCTTTTGGCACACCATCCAATGTACTTCTTTAATCCATTTTATCTTGTAATTTGTATATTAAAAAATTATAGAAATTATATATTAATAATCTATATGTTAAGACAAATCATACAAGATCACACATGACTATATTTAGGCTTACACATTGAGAGAATTTGATGAGTCAAAGTGCTTAGATGAACAATTCCAAAAGTCAAAAGTAGGCAAAGAGAGTGGGACGGAGGTAGTAGAAAATATGTTGGGAACTAGTCGAAAAAATATTATGAATATTTAATTGACTAAATATTAAAAAAGGCACTTTGTATTTTTTTGTCCCGATATATTCAAAAAAAACAAGACCTTTTTTTAACAAAAAATAAAAATATGTTAAATTTTTTATTTCAAACACAAGTAATTTTTATTTTTTTAAAACATTTAAAAAAGTAGTTTTGAAAATTCATAAATAGCTTAGTAGTTTCAAAAAAAAATAGTTTTTAGAAATATATCATGGTCTACAATAAGTTATCCACTAATGGATATTAAAAAAATAATATATAAAAATTTATAAATTTCATTAGTGCATCTATGTCAACAAGGTATATTCACACAAATTATTTTAAAACATTTATAGTAGAATACTTTTTAAAACTTTTGATAATGTATTTTTTTTCAAGGAGTAGAATATATAAAAGATATACTAATTAATGGAACAAATACTAAAAAAATTTATTATTTACACTCGTTATTTAAATCATTGAGATTTTTTAAACATGAATTTAATTGAAAATTTGTTGTAAATAAAATCATGTATTTAAATCTAAGGAATAGTACACAAATTGAAAATGAAAAAGTTAAAAAAAAACAAATAGCGGCAATGAAAGTTAATTTTTTCAAATAATATGTGTTATATAATGATATCAAATTTGAAAGATTTATTATAGAGTTTTAGGAGGTCGGTATTCAAAAGATTATACATATTTTAGAATTTATCAATTCTTTAAATAAAAAAAATGATTAAGTAAACTTTTAAAATATCAAAATAGACATTTAAGTGGTTAATATAAAATATTTATAAAATTTATAAAACAATGTATAATACTCCATACTATTTTTAGAGTGTTACTCCCTCCGTCCCCCATAGATCTTCTCATTAGCCCTTTTTATTTGTCCACCATAGATTTTCTCATTACCTTTTTTAATACTTAAAATACCACAACTACTCCCACTTACTTTATTTATTACATCTCACCTACCTCATTTAATACACTCCACCCATTTTCATTAAGGGTATTATGGTAAACTTTCACCTTTTTTCAACTCTCCTAAAAAACCGCAAAAAGTCAAAACGAGAAAATCTTAGGGGGACGGAGGGAGTATAATATAATTAAAACTAATGAACATAATTTTTTTTATAAATAACAAGAAAGTTAATTTTGTTGTTTTTCTATATAAACAAAAAAAAAGCAAACGGGGCCATTTTGCAAATTTTTTAAAGTGAGGTGAGACATATTGATTCACTAGACTTGCGTGGCATTGTATAATGCCCCTTGAATTGAAGGGCATGAGAGAACTCGCCTTATATATAACCTCCGAAAACTTTGTTTTTGGTCGGTTGTGATTTAGATATACAAATTGTTGATGACGAATAAGAAACACTGAACCATTAGACGTGCCGGAATAATTGACCGGAGGAGCTGCCGGAAATGCCGACTTCTCCATCGGGAAACCACGGCTCTCCGATGCGTTTTGTGTCGTTTCGCCGGCCGATCATCACTCTAAGTGGCGGCGACCCAGTCCACACGCTGCTACTGGAGCACCACCACAAGTCGCCGCCGGTGCCGGCGTACCCGGAGATCGAATCGTTCCAGTCTCAGGTCTCCACTCTGTTCCACGACCTCTCCCTCGCCACTCCGAAAGAATTCCTATCCATTTCCTGGATCCGGAAACTGCTCGCCGTGTTTTCCGCTTGCCACGAGGATTTCAGATCCATCGTGTCGAGCAAGAAGAAGAAGAACGCGTCAATGGCGGCGCCGTCGAAACAGAGGATCCTAACAGAGTATTTCGACAGGACGATCAAAGCTTTAGACATGTTGAACGCCGCCCGGGACGGGCTGGAGAAGATCAACGCGTGGCAGAGGCACCTGGAAATCGTGATCTGCGCATTGGGCGGCGGCAGAACGGCCGTCGTCGGAGAAGGAAATCTCCGGCGGGCGAGAAAGGCGCTGGTGGACTTGGCACTCGAGGATCATAAGGATGACTCAGCCGGCGGCGGGGTGTTTTCCAACCGGAGCCTGTCATTCAAACGACGCGCCGCCGCGTCCAAGGACCAGAACCGCCCTCCCCTGGCCCACACGAGGTCTCTGTCGTGGAGCGTTTCAAACTCCTGGTCCGCATCCAAACAGCTCCAGCTACTCGCCAACGCCGTGCAATCCCCGCCGCGAGCGGCGGATGTCGCCGCCACGGACGGCCTAGCGACCCTCCTCCACACAATGAGCTTCATCCTGGTTTTCGTCCTGTGGGCCCTCGCCGCCGTCGTCCCCTGTCAGGACCGTGGGACCCACACGGCCATCGTCGTCCCCCGGCAAAGCTGGAGCAGCCCATTCCACATATTACAGGCCAGGATAACGGAGGAGTCTAAACGGCGGCGCCGGAACTCGAACGGGTTGTTGAAGGAGATATGTCGGATGGAAGAGGGGGTGAGTCACTTGACCGAGTTCGTCGAGTCGGCTCAGCTCCCATTGTCTGAAGAACACAAGGATGAACTAAGGGGATGGATTCACGAGTTAATGTCCGTCTCGGATGTGTGTAAAATTGAGCTTAAACCTCTCGAACGGGATATCCGAGATGCGTTCAGAAAGATAGTAAGTTGTCGCATCGAAGGTCTCGAATTTCAAGAAAACAAGACTTAGTGAAACTTGGAATTCATTTTAAAAAGTCAATCTCATAAGAGAAATGGGAGGAAAACTTACTACCACAAATTTACTATTTCATTATCAATATGTATTGTGTACAATTACAAAAAAAAAAAAAGGAAACAAATTTAACCACATAAAGGGAGGGGAAAAAGGTGTGTCCATATTGTGTGGTTATGTTTCGTTATTTCCTAAGTAAAATTTAATGCAAAAAATCTGATACATTTGCCTGTGTTGTTTGCATGATTATAATTATAATTAAAATAAAGTATATTGTGAAGAATTGTTTTTTTTTTCATCTTAAAATGTAAAGGAATACTCGATCAGTACGTAAATGTGTTGTAAAATTTCAGTTTGCATGTGTTGCATAATTGTCGTCCATGCAGCTTTATTTATTTATTAAATAAACCAGTCTGGAAATTTAATATCTGCACTTTAAATTTATTATTACATTTAAGTTGAAAAGATGTATATTCTCATAGGAATGATTAATGGTAAAACATGCATGCTTGGTGAAGCTGTTGAATATAATTAGCACACACTCATGCATATATCATCCAATCATTTTTCATTAAGCTGAAAAAAAAGGAACCTAGCACATTTATTTATTGTGTGAAGGAAACATAACACACATTTTTATGATACACCATAATGGTGAATTATTGTCATAGTCGCAATGAAAATGAATTTGTACATTGCAACATGTCAATGATAACAATGTTTCAACCGTATTTAGATAATTTAACTTTATTTTCTACTGCGTATATATATATATATTTCCTTGAAAACATCTACAAATTTTAATCTCTAAAACATTAAAGAAAAATTTGTTCTATATAGGATTAAGAGGTAGTGTGTTTTTCAAAATAGGATCAAGTATGTTTTTTTTCTCCTTTATGGCACAAAACTCCATATGATCTGTCATATATGCCTTCATTAGCAACAAGGCAACAAGTGTTGGACAATGACTGATTATACAATGACTTTACGAATGTGGTCATTAGCAGCAAGTGTTGGATGATCACTAATCATTTCAATGACTATTCAAGTTATGTTTAATAATGTCTTATATATTCTACTTGAATTGTATAATAGGTGATTAGACTTTGCATTGCCAAACGTTTAAATAGATAAGACTGATCCTATTTAGGGAAAAATGATATGTTTAAGTCCTACTTGCGTAAAAAGGTCAACATTAAATAGCTGGCAAAAAATAGTTCATCTTACCAAACCATTTTTTCTTAACCAAGGAATTCAAACATCTATATATCACGAACAGCTGACACAAATATCTAACTACTTTGTGCCAAACCGGGCCACAACAATGAGCTTTTTTTTCCTAAAGGTGGAACGCCCACCCCGGTCTTTTTTCCCTAGCTAGCTTGAGCCTTGAAGAGCACTAAAAAGAACACGCAGATGTTTAAATCATGCATTTATGAGGGCATTGAGTTAAGAAGGATGAATTGGGTGTATATGAATGTGGGTGGTGGTTAAGCTGTTCATCTGGTTGGCCCCCTGTTGTTCTCTTGCTATTTGTTTCTTGAAATTGCCAGCCATGTGAGAACAGGCTGGGGAAACTACATTCATGTGAAGCTTATGAACACATTTCTTGGACCAAAGGTGGCAATTAAGTTGCCTACCACAAATCCTTAATAGATTATTATTATTAATATTATTATTGTAGATAAATCAATGATTTTTTGTTGTGACAGAATCAATGATTCATGCAATGTATTCCTAACCCGGCATGATTAATTAAAAAATTAAAATTATGTAGTTGAAAGTAAAACATATCAATCATAACAACAAACCCGATAAAATCACATCAAGTGGCATCTGGTGGAGGTCAATGGTGTACTACGTATAGTACCCTATCACTGCCCCTACTTGGAACGTAAAGAGACTCTTTCCAAAAAACTCCCCACTCAAAGATATTGAAGTGAGAAATAATAAAAATTACACAATTCTATTTCTAAGAAATACATGAAGAAGAAAATGTGAGACTTTCTTTGAACACAGTATTTTATGATGCGGTTGTGATTTTTGAGTGTCCATTTGTGAGTACGTGTGGAATTACTACGTGAACTAAGTACTCCTTTCGTCCCACAAAATAAATCCTGGTTGGCCAAAGTATTAGGGTCCGTTTGGTATAAGGAATTGGTGGAATTGGAATTGAATTGGAATTGTAATTCCATGGGATTCAATTCCATAGAATTGAATTCTGTCAATTTCAATTCATTTTTTGCACTATCAATTCCAAATCTACATAATTTTTGTGCTACCAAACACTAGAATTGGAATTGAATTCCCGAATTCCAATTCCATATTTTGAATTCCATATACCAAACGGGGCCTAAATGTTATGATTAGTTTTTAAAATACATTTTCTTATACCCTGCGATTTGGTGACAGTAGATAAATACTCCGTATGATATGAATGGAAAAAGCATGAGAAAATTATTCATGGGTACCTTATATTTTAGAATAAGAACTACTAGATACCCTTAGTTTTCAAAAATACATACAGGTACCCTAGAATTTTGGAAAACTGACTCTGGAGGGACTTTCCATCCCTCCCTCCGTTAAACCAATTTTCCGTCACTCACAGGTTCATCCTCTTTCTTCTCTTCTTTCGGTCTTCCCCAGTTCCCTCCCTCCTCCTCTTCTTCTTCTTTTTTTTTGCTTCCATACAGCCCCACCTCCCCCTTTTTTTTTCTTTCTTTCTTCTTTGCTTTGATCCAGCCCCACCTTTTGCTTCTATTATTTTTTCTTCTATTATTATTATTATTATTACTACTATTACTAATACTATTACTATTACTACCTCTGTTCTAAAATTAACTTCTCAGTTTGACTTTTGTAGTCAAACTTTTTAAACTTTGACAGTATATTACAGAAAAAATACATTGAATTTTCATATAAATTTATTAACAATAGATTCATTTTGAAACATAGTTTTTAAATATATAATTTTTATAAAATATATTTATATAAAATTTGAGATATTGATGGTTAAAGTGTTGCATTGGAGGCCGTAAAAAGTCAAATGGGAAGTTAATTTTAGGATAGAGGGAGTATTATTTATTATTATTATAATTAAAGTCAAAGCATTGGAGTATTTTTTTGGTATAAATTCAACCATAAAAACTACTCGTACTAAATCCAATGTAGGGGTGGACACGGTACCGGTACAGTACCGGTACCGGAAACGGTACCGCCGGTTCCGGTACCGTTACCGTCGGCCGGTACGGTCCACCGGTTCCGGGAACCGGTACCGGTACCGCCCAATCCGGTACCGGTTCCGGTGCCCATTTTTCGGTACCGGCACCGGCGGTTCCGGTTCCGGTACCGTTACCGTTTTTTTTTATTTTTTTTTTTATTTCATTCTTTCCTTTATCAATTTCATTTTTAGATTTTTTTATTTCATCATTTC